TTAGTGTGAGGGATTGCTGAAGAGTCAATGAGTCGATGCAATCAGCTGGTTTTCCTTAGATAGAAAACTTTGAATCAATCTGACTGGATGATCTGGTTGAACTGTTTCTATAAACCTGAGATGACATGATGTGAATTGGAGCTATAGAAATAAGCTGAATAGAAGTATGGAGAGAAATTTGTTCCAAAAACATTTAATTGAAAAAGGAAAGTTGAAAACCTTCTAGGTTTAGAGATTAATTTATAATGTGAATCATACGTTCAGCTATGGGATCGAATCTAACCTCTGGTCTTCTCCCGCATGTCTCTCCCCCTCTCTCCTACCCCCTTTCTTGTCAGCCTTCTGTGCAAAAAACAAGCTACTATTTCCATAAAGCCCCCCCTCCCTCTTGAAAAAGCTTTCTGGATTGGAAGCGAAACGTTTTCAAACTTGGAAACAGAATCCAGTGGATATTTTTTAAACCTTTTTGGACAGAGTTTTATTAATTGTGTTATTTTCCAACCTCTACACTCCTGCATTGGACTGTAGGAGAACCAAGAAAAGAGCCTTCAGAAACAGAAGATCTATAAAAACTATAACAAACTGTGAAAAATAAAATTCCAAGAAATATTGGTTAAACTTTTCCAAACAGATAATAAATAACCCCCAATACCTTTTTTTTTGGATTAGGAAGTTTTTTAAATTTTAATTCCTGCAATATATTTTTTAAATTTCCTCCTGTAAATATTTCCTTTACTTTCGACAATACAGGAACAAATTTCTCTCCATACTGAAGCAGCAGAACTAAACAGATTGGTTCCCTCCTGAGCCAGCAGGGGGCAGCATCGCACCACCTGATTTGGATTGGTCTGCTGCTCCGTCTCCCAGTGTTCCCAGTAGAACCCACATCCATACTGTCCCTTTGCCTCTCACGCTCAGCAAACCGTCTCATAAACTGGGTTTAGGAAGGACAGAACTGGTCCCAGTGAAGAGGAAGCCACAGGGTTCTGGGATGAGGGGGAAGGAGCAGAGATCAGTCCCTGACGCCTCCTGGAAGCAACAGGATTCCCCGTCCGTGGATCTGGATAAAACCAGACATGCTGAGATGGAGCCGGATCCGATTCATTAACTAAACGTCTCATAAAAGCAAACATTCAGCTCAGATGCGGACTCCCGCCATCCTGCTGACGTTCATGTGGAAAAGTTGCTGCAGTAAAAACTGCCTGAAGCCTCAAAGGAACCCGAACGACCAAAGATGGCCTCCTCAGCCCCGCCGTCGGCCACCAGGGGGCGACGCTGCAGAGCTTTACCAAGCTGAACTTTCAGTTAACCTTCAACGCCCTGAAAACAGGGGAAACCGATAGAGCAGCAGGAGGACGGATCCGATTCCCAGCAGAACCGCTCAGGTTCCGTTTGTCTTCATCCACCAACAGCATCTAATTCATCGATCCGTTTAAATCGGATCAAATTCTTCAGATGTTTTAAACAAATCTCCGTTTATAGGAGATGAAGTTTGGGTCGAGCAGCGCCGACCCGCCTCAGAGGCCTCCTGGTCGCCCATCATCTTCATCTCTCAAACATCAGTGCGTCACCAGAACCGAGTCGGGCTGATAAACAAGGACGTTATGCAAGCGGTACCAAATCAAAATCTCATTTTAATCCTCAAACAAAAAGAAACGATATAAGATCTTTAGACAAACAGAGTTTAATCCTTAAAGCCCAGATAAGTTCTGACCCGGTTGGCTCAAACTCAGGGCTGTTTTTTTGGGGGGTCAGAACTCCAGAGACAGACGGTGTTCTGAGCAGCACAGACCTGCAGGAGGCGCTGTGACGTGAATGTCCTGCAGGGAGGAAGACCTGAGTCTCCGAGGTTCCATGCAGCCGGGTCAGAACCAGAACCTGAGCTGCTCACACCCTCTAACCACAGAGAGACGCTGGTTTCAGGGTTCCGCTCAGAAAACAGGTCGAAGCTTAGATTTGGACTCACGAGCAGAATGTGAAGAGGATCTTCTCGAACACCAGAACCGGGCCGGTGCTCCCCAGGATGGTGAGAGGCTGACCGGAGAACAGGGAGTAGGCCACACCTGTCATGGAAGCCCCGAGCAGAGACTCGATGGCGCTCTGCGAGAGACGGAGACAAAAGAAGACACCTGAGCCCGTCCTTTAGGTCCAGTTAGATTAAGAACACAGAACATCTTCCAACATGGTGTCACCAGAACCAGAACCAACTACGGGAGTAAGAAACTAAGCACACAACTAATCTACTACCTGTACAACCTCTTCCTTGCAATCTCTAGTAACAATCTGGACTTTGACTAGACCCTAGATCTTCTCTGTTGTAGGTCAGCTGCTGAGTTTGGGATGGTGGTTCTGTTCATGACCCAGTTTGGAACAGGTTCACCAGGAAGAACCCAGATCCAAACCCAGACTATCACTCTTCCAACACCATGCCTGACAGCCGTCTGTTTCCTGGTTCTGTTTAACATCTCTGACTAGAGGACATTGTCCCAGAAGTTTGATAAAAACAGCTTTATAATTAAAAGCTGCGTTCATAATAAACAGGTCAAGACAGCGTCCCGTGCTACAACTTGGACATTTATATCTGTTGAGGTCAAATGCCCTGGAAGCGGGACGCTCTAAACGCTATGGAAGCGGGACGCTCTAGACGCCCTGGAAGCGGGACGCTCTAAACGCCCTGGAAGCGGGACTCTCTAGACGCCCTGGAAGCGGGACTCTCTAGACGCCCTGGAAGCGGGACGCTCTAAACACCCTGGAAGCAGGACGCTCTAGACGCCCTAAAAGCGGGACGCTCTAGACGCCCTAAAAGCGGGACGCTCTAGACGCCCTAAAAGCGGGACGCTCTAGACGCCCTAAAAGCGGGACGCTCTAGACGCCCTGGAAGCGGGACGCTCTAAACGCCCTGGAAGCGGGACGCTCTAAACGCCCTGGAAGCGGGACGCTCTAAACGCC